CTAAAGGTGTGGATTCCGGGGGGGGTACCATATGTATGTATGTATGTATGTATGTATGTATGTATGTATGTATGTATGTATCATAATATACAAAGTACATACAACGTAACGTACATATATAACATAAAATATGTTGTATGTACAACGTCATGTATGTATGTATGTATGTATGTATACATATATTTATTTATAATACATCATATACACTATATAGTGGTGTCGCGGCGGGTCTTCTTAGTCTGTCAGGGCCACCAGGCCAGGCGAGTGTGAAGCACTAAAGGAGTTACTTTAGGACTTGCTTTAGGGCAGTTCCCTAAATTCGGGCCCCTTTTAGGGTCCTTTTTGTAGGGTCTCATCTCGAGGAATGTTATAAAGAAATGGGCCAAAATAAGCTTGGGATGATGGGGAGTACCTGTTTGTTGCGAGAAACGTTCGGATGGAAATGGTAAGCGAAGGCTGGGCGGAAATGGCGAGCGAACATTGGGCAAGGAAAATCGCTCCGTGGGTTTTGTGCCCGTGCGACTGACGCGTGGCCTCTTGACAGCTTAAAGGAGTCTGCTGTGCTGCGACAAGTGAGGCAGCATCATCTGAACCAGCACCACTTCTGGGCTTCCAGACCGATTGTAAAGTGAGTTCAGGGTCGTTCGAATGGGCGCACGTACACCTCCGTGTCAGGTGTCTGACCCCGCCATGTCTGACATAGTCGGTGCTGCTCCTCGCAGCATGTATGAGTGGACAGGGGCAAAATCGAGAATGTGCCCGCAGAGTCTCCCCACACCTCGTGTTTGGAACTGCTGTGGTCAGCAACTTCACTTTATTGGTCTTTGCTTGGTGCCTTGCAGGAACCAGCGGGCTTCATCTACAACATCATCTCAGGCCGAATAGCCAAGCGATCATGCACATGCATGCGTTTTATGTTGGCCTGGGAGCTGCGCTGAGGACTCGCCGGTGCAGTCGCTGTCGCCACAGGCAGACACGTTTATCTTAGCCTCACTGATGCTTCCAGCTCGAACGGCCGGTGTCAGACCCTAGATAGGTGTCTCCCTTAGCGTTCATGCCCGAAGTCGAAGTAGTGAACCTATCATATCTGTGATGGATAGCGTGGCTACGTACCTTCATCTAATGATAATAACATACAAGCACTCACACACCCACATACACGTCACAGGTAGGTCAGACGATGCAACTGCCACCCGACTCGCAAAGGAGGGTAGAGTCGTGCAAGAGCAGAAGTCGAACGTTCCTCTGAAACCGCTTTCGATCATCAGTAAGCTTCTCTACAGGTTAGAGCACCATTGGCCAGGCTGAGCAGAGGTCCAGGAACTCCTCGCGTGGACTATCTCGCTTGCGTGCCTGGCTTCCCTTCAGGCGCGCTGCGTAACATATTGGCACGCCCTCATGGCCCTTGACTTGCAGAGGAGTTCGCACTCAAGAGTCTGCTTCTTGTCCAGGCAACGGGACGACATGTTGGATTGCACGCAGCTGGTCGCTGTGGTGCAGAGGCCTCGATGCCAACGCAAGTGTGTGAAGAATCATTCAGCTATTAGCTGTTTATTGACCGTCTCTCTGTCTTCCACCCAAACAGTGAGCAACCCGAACATATCAACATCAATCAGCAAAGATGAAGACCGGGTGCAAGGGCACAAGACACAGACCGGGAAATGCGATTCACCTGTCCGTGGTTTTCACGCCATCAAGCCAACATTCCTGCATGGGCAGCTTGCCCTAAGAAATGCCTGGTCTAGTAAACACGCCAGCCCTTGAGCAGTCCAGACCCTGAAGCATTTGATTCCCAATGCAAACCCAGTTCTCGAGTGTAGCTGTGGTAAAGCTGGATGCAAGCACGGCGAAAACACATTCATGGCTTTCGGCTTTGTATCGCAATCGGCTTCTGCAGTGACTCTGCCTTTCGAGGCTTCATCTCTGCCAGTCATTTGTCCCGGCAGGTGACGATGTCTTCTGTGGCCTGTCAGACAGCACCCCAGCTGATTCGTGGTCTGCATCATCAGACTTTGCCACGGTTGGGGCTGCATGGGTTGTTGCCGCCTGTTCTGATTTGAGGACAGCGACAGTGACGATGCACTTTGGATTATGACTTTGAGACATTGAGCGAGGTGGGTCCTCTCGGCAAGTTGCTGCCAGAGATTGAATTCCATTAGTTTTGTCCTGTCACACCGGGTCAACGCGGGCGAATTCATTCGACTCGCCTCGATTTGGCGCTCTCGGCGATTCCGGGAGGTTACAGTAGCCTCGCCTGTGTTCGGCAAGGCTTGCATTATGGCTCCAGACACGGTCGCACCTACAAGTGCGAACAGATGCAAGAGCGAGGCGAACGCAGTCCAGAGCCTTACCTAGGTTGTCTGACCCCCGAGCGAAAATGTCACAAGCTGCACATGTTTGCGCATTTCACTTAACGAATCGCAGAGGGTGACACTTTGGCCGCCTTGCATCTGCAAGTTTAACTTGTGACGCCTGCGGGCATGGTCATGCGACCTGAATGGAATTAGGTTTTTCGCCGGAGCTGTGCAACCAGCAGTCCCATCTGTCTTTGACTTTCCGTTGTTTGGCTGTCAAACAGCCATGTGACGATCAGCAGAGTAGCATCTATCTCTTGGCTTTGTCTGTGATGCAGCCGTGACCGTGGACAGCCTGATGCAGGCTGGGCATCCGTGAAAAATTGTGAGGCACGAGACTTGCATCTGAGCAGGACTCAATGTGTCCATACACCACGGCAAGTCTCCACAGCGAAAACTAATTGTCATATTGTCACGATATACAACGGCCATTTTTCCTGCAAGTGATGGGAAATAACTTGCCAGAACCTAGTTGCAAGGAGGTGCTTGACTAGATGAACTTGCCAGAACATCCGTGTGATACTAGAAAAGCAAAAAACATACGCATGATTGTCGTTGTACGTAGGGCTTTGCCCCTGTCACGAGCTGCATCCATAAATGCAGTGAGCAGCATTTTCAGAGCTCGTTCCAAATTGCTCTCCTTTACGGTGGCACACCAACCACCTGCCTGTGCCTTTTCCGCTCAGCCACTGGCAGCATCAGGGCACGACTGTCCATCAAGTCCAGGCCGACCGGAGTCTATGCAAGCATACTCTGAAATGGATAGCCAGGGGAGGCCAGGTGGATCCTTCAGTGCTTTTTGCTTGGAGTTGAGGAAGCTAGAGACCCGGGAGCACTGCATGTGCTCTCTTCTGGCTGGGACATGGTCAGAAAAGCTGACCGTGCTTATCATTTGTCGCTTCTTGCTCGGGATCCGTCGATTTGACACGAGGTCTCGGTTAGAAAAGAATGCGCGAAGGGCTTCGGTCCGTTGCCGAAAGGGCTCATGGTTGAGTCATGTGTCTGTGTGTGTGTGAGACAGACACTGACATGACATACAGGCACGGTCGCAGCAATCCTGCCTGCAAACACAACGCCGTCGCAACAGTGTACGATCTGGCATGGACTGAATCACCGCTTTGATCAGCTTGCCAGTGTGTGTGTGTGTGTGTGAAAAGTTTACTAAGTAAATGCTCATAATCATATACGTATATAAACATACAGTGTATGCATACACATGCATGCACAAACACAAGTACATACGTGTGTATATAGTGTATGTATATATATATATATATATGTAGACACAGAATGTACGAATGTATATGTGTATATATATATGTGTGTGTGTGTGTGTATGTGTGTATATACGCACATACATACGTACACGCGTATGTGTGTGTACATCCTTTGAGCGAAGGACTCTAAGTAATGATCAGGAACGCCGGTATATTTCAGCAGGGGGACTGAAGACGCTCAAGTGTGTAGCTGCTTGTACAGAATCAAGCAAACGAGTGAAAGTGCAAGGTTCAGGGCTTCTTGGATGCATGTCGAAGGCAAAAGGACCCAGTGCTCGTATTGGAGATCTGCCCGAGTGTGCTCCAGACAGCATTCGTTTATCGCGCTGTCTGCTCCGGGGTGGCCAGGATGAGTATGGTCATGTCAATGACGGGTATTGTTCCCTGATCAGAACACTCTGACCACAGCCCGTCTCCTTTGCTTCAGGCTGCACTTTGAGCCGGGTTCAGTCAGTAGATGCGAAGAAGAAGATCGTGTTTGTCATTGGTCTCCATCAGAGAGGAGCTGTTTTGGGATCATAGTATCAGATTGCGAGCGCAGCCGTGAGTAGATCCGCGCAATCCCAGTTGCCAAAGAATGACCAGCACGTTTGTGAGCTCATAGAATTTAAGCGGCCACGGAGCTTTTTCAGAAGCAAGAATATGTCGTGGCTTTACAGACGATTGCTATTTATTCTTATTCCTGCATTGTTTTCCTATCATCGCCGGGAGAAGTTGACTCTGAATCTGACATATTCCGGTGTTATCTTTGCCGAGTGCTGCACTGAATCTCACGTCGTGTGCTGACGACGCTGCCCTTTCTGCGTGCTCGTCGTCGCGTGATGGCGGCGCTGGACCCTAGACGACGACAGAAACCACACGACGACAAGAGCACTGCCTGCCTGCGAAACGTATCCTCTTGAAGCTCAGCCATGTGGCGTTCAGATTCCAATCAGTGGCCGGCAAGACAAGTTATCAGTCATGTGACGTGTTTGCGATTGATCTTCGTCCAGAAAATGCGGTTGCGATTGTCTTTCGTGTCGTGAAGCATGTCTGACCAGTGACACAAGTGATGCAAGCAAGTGCTTTTGCTGTTTGTTGCATGAATAGATCTACCAACTGGTAGAAAGATTGTTTGATTGGTTTGAAAGATCGGTTTGATTGGTTTGAAGGATCAACGGCTGCCTAAAGATTTCGGAGTCAAGTGTCAGCTGCCACTCAAGTTTGCAAGTCCTTTGGCGCTACTTTTGACAGAAGCGGGGCATTTCTAACGCTTCTAACGCAATTAGTTGCGTCGTTGCGTAGGTCTCTGTGAGAGATTGACATTATTGAGTGCAGCTCAGGCGCTCAGCGTGGCTATACTGATGATTGGTATTTATTCTTGTTCTTATTCGTGCAGCGACATAATGTTGTGAGACGAGCTCTTCTGGAATTCTTTGGCCACCCACGGAAGCCAATGCGAGACCTGCAATGTGCAAACCTTCTGTCGCATCTGTTAGCTTTAAATTAAAAGAGCAGAGTCAGGAATCTACCAGCTGGTGGATCCGGACACACAGCCGTATGAGTGATGCATTGCAAGACCGTCAGTCTGCCTGCTTGTTTCGGTGATATGTTGGGAAACAACGGAAAATGCAGTGTGTCATTTCACGTCGGATGTCGAACTTGACAGCCCTAAAGGAGGGAGTCAGACCGGGGGGGAGCACGATCAACACTTCGGACACACAGCCGTATGAGTGATACAGCAAAAGAGGATTGTACACGTTTATTTGTGATTGCACGCAAGTTGACATTCGTCAGCAGGTAGAGCCGGTGAGTCGTTGAAAAACCTACCCCTTTTCATGAAGGTGTGTGTGTGTGTGTGTGTATCGCCGGTGAGCTAAGGATACGGACTAGCGTCTGGTAGATTGTTCAACAATGTATGTCAGCTGTGCGGCTGGAGCATTGAGCTTTGTGATACCGGATACTCTGCGTAGAGAACTTGAAGTCTCAGCACTACCCCTTCTTCGGAAGGGGTGTGTGTGTGTGTACATCTTGTGCGCCAAGGACTCTAAGTAATGATCAGGAAAGTCGGTATATTTTAACAGGGGGACAGGAGCTGATTTGCCTATCCTGTCCAACGAAGCTACGACAAGTGAGTGGTTGACCAGGCTCAAGTGTGTACCTGCTTGTACAAGCTTGTACATATTGCCAAGCAAGTGAGTGAGAATGCATTGTTCAGGGTTTCTTTGATGCATGTATAAGGCAAAAAAACCCTGTACTCGGATTGGAGATCCGCACAAGTGTGTGTGTGTGTGTGTGAGTGTGTGTGAGTGTGTGTGTGTGTGCGAGATGGTGTTGGCTGGTTCCTTTCACACAGTACATCGTACCAAGCATGCATTAAGCACAAGGTGCTGGACTGTATCTGCATGTTTGTGAAGGTGGTGTGGCGCGCTTCATCTGTGCAGACCACGGCGCATCCGCTCCACGTCTCAGCTTGCAGGCAGTGGCAGCGCTGTTGGCCGGTCGATGCACGCAGTTCTCCGAGTGGGATGTAGTACATCACAAAAAGCCACACTGGGTTTGACAGACCTGTATGGACGCATGGACGTGCCTGTATGTGCATGCGCATGTGCATGTACCTACGTATATATGTAGGTAGGTAGGTAGGTAGGTAGGTAGGTAGGTAGGTAGGTAGGTAGGTAGGTAGGTAGGTAGGTAGGTAGGTACGTATGTATGAATGCCAATGTCACACCATGTATGTCAATATCAATATGTGT